TTGTTATTGTCATTTGCATTCACAAAGAATGGCTTTGGACGTAGCACCCACGAGCTCTTCTGTCGTTGGCTGAGGTTTCTCTAGTGCTGCTTTTCCCAACTCCCTCTTTGTCTGTGCGTTGCGTGTTTGTGAGCATGGCCCTTCTTCTGTGCTGTGCATTTGACTCATGAGCCGCGGATGGTCTGTGTGAAATATGTGATGATTTGCGGCATTTTTTTGGACTGTGCTTTGATCTCCACCGCGGAATGACGGTCGGACTGGAGGCGTTGCTTTTTTCTTTGCTCTGATCACGTGCAGTGTGTATTGGGGACTTCTCAGGGAAGCGCCAGCCGACATTGTTGTGAGGCCCATGTCTGGTGCCATGCTTTTTATTGACGTGGAATGGGTTGGGAGGTTTGCATATAAGCTTCTGTGCATTCTTGCCGTGGTGCTCTCCATGCATAGCCCGGGGAGACGACTGGCTGAGAATTGTCAATGGGCGTCTCGTTGAGCCGAGGAACGCATAGTGTGTTTTCTGCTCATTGAGAGTCCGGGCGCCACGGAGGATGTATGGGGCAGGCAGAATCTTGTGCATGGCGGAAGGAGGAGACAAAGGGCTGATTGTTTGATTGTTGGTGACGAGTCCTGCCTCACTGCTTGGAGGGGGCTGTTGTTGACTGGGGCAACCTGTTTTGTGTGTCCAGACAGTGCTTGCGCCGAGTAGCGGGGTGCCATTTTGGTCTGTTTGCGGCTCCATCATGCGGGGCAGCAGCGTGACGTTTACGGACTGCGTGCCTGTGGGTTGATGAATGTGGTGGGAGGCGTGTCTGAGGAGAATCCGCGAAAGAAGGAGTGGCATGTGTTTGGCGGTGCTGCTGTGCGATGTGCGGGGGAAGAAGAAAAACAAGTGCTTTCTGACACGTCGGTGAGTGTGCCACGGCCACCAATGTGTTTTCAGTGAGAGGGGCAGGAGTGAGGGAGACGGAGACTCTGCGCACCCGCTGCGGCGTGTGGTGCCACAGGATGCGATTGCCATTGTGAAGGGTGCGACGGCCGTCACGCGTGCAGCAGAGCGTCATCTGCATCTTTTTGCCTGCAGAGCTTGCAGGTTCTGCGAAGAGGTGCAGGCGACCTCTCACTATTGGGCTGCCGAGGCCGTTCTTCCTTTTTGCTCAGCAGGAGAAGCAACTTTTCTTGCAGGCGGTGTTGCTGGTCTGCATCGATGCTCCCCACGGGGTATCACGCCGCCGTGCCGTTGCAGTGCAACTCTGGTATTCCTCGCTGCTCATGTGGCCCCCTGTCGCTTGCCTTATTTGCAGAGCCATGGCCTGCGGTCCCCATTGGGAGGCTGCTCATTTTTTTTTTCTTAATTTTTTTATGCTGTTGAGAGGTGCTGGGGAGTAATGACTGCGGGGATGGTGATGTTGTGGTTCACTGTGAGTGGTGGCGGTGTGCACTGCTGTTGTGATGTCTTTCTGCCGCTGCTGTCCGTTGCTCGCCTCCAAGAAAGAAGTTAATACCAAACGCGAATCGCTACTGTGAAATTTGACGTCTCCGAAAGGACCAACAGCACACACACCGCCCACAGGCACACA